CTGATGCATATTCAGAAACTCATCGAACGCTTTGTTGAAGAAGTGAACCAAATTATACTCTCGTTTGGAGGGAGTCCTGATTCAGTAGACGACATGCAAACTACGGTATGTTTACAATTCATTTTTTGCAGAAACATTCCTTTCGCAGCAAATGTGACCCACACCGAAAAAAACCAGCATCACTGCATTTATTTATAGTTGTAAAAGTCCTTTTCCAATCAAAGAACATTAAGCTCCGATCATGGACTTCGGCCGACGTACAGGACGAAAAGGATCACGAATCCCGAAAACAAAATCTTCTGGGGCAGCTTGAAAAACTTGGCTCAGATCAACAATTCAGAACGGCTCAGCAGAAAATTATGCTCAGGTCCAAATAGTAACCTCTTCTAAGCCACTTATGATATCCGGAATAGATCCTTACTAGTCATATTCATGTATTGTTATTAGCTAGACTTATTTGTGATTTTGGAATTTAGCACAAGAACTGATTCCTATTATCTTTTCTCTGTGATTGTGATCTCATTTACTTTTGTAAAATTTTATTAGAATACAAACATGTACAACACGTCTTCATCCAGGCTTAGTGAGAGATGACAAATTATTGAACATTTTTATCTAATAGCGACTCGTAATAATCGATGACCATCTGAAAAATAAATGTTATAAGCATGAGAATATCGAAATCTCATACTTTTACTTCTCATACTAAAAGAAGATTTACAAGCACTTTCACGGTAATTCTATAAAAAACGAAAGTTCTTGCAGAAGGTACACATGTTATAAAGTGATACCGAGCCTGCAAAGCAAGGTTCCCACGTCAAACAAGAAGTAAGCGCTAAGACCGAAAATGAGAAAGTCAGCAATTTTTTCATTTCCAGCTATTAATTTATTGAAATAGAACCTTTTTTGATAGTGTTAAGTAAAAAAAAATCACTGTAAAGTCTTTTTGTCCCACGAAATCGTGAATCTTGTATTCTCGCCAAAACGTCATATCATCGCAAAGTACTGTCGACAAAAAAACGAAAACAAAATACCTGAGGTGCATAATGTCGTAAAATCCGGGTTGGCACTAGCTCGACTCCCTTTTTGCGATCTTTCATCGCATCCGAATATACGACTAGCATACGCAGTTCCGAGGATTTGTTGTTGAGACCAAGGATACGAGAAATTTTGCGTCCTTCACAAACACCATACTTCTTATCATCCACTGCTAGAAATAATGAATTGAGGACATACTAAGGTCTGTGTTCCCGAGTTCTTCCCGTTACCACCGCTTCACACGCTACTCGAGACTTTCAAGCCTCCTGAACATTGAAGGCAGTGGCTCGGGAAGACTGCAACTGCGAATATTTCACCTCCTTGGCCTTCTGGATGTGCTAAACCCAGGACTGTGCTTGAAATCTCTCAAAGTATCAGAAATTGCTTTCCATGGCGTTTTCCGGCCTCAGAAATTTGCTGAAGGCTTGACAAGCGATTCACCAACTGAGGGCGCGATTGGCTGCCTGAGCCAATCAGCCAATTGGCGCCAAAAGGGGAGAGTGACACCACTCGTACAGTCTCATGCAGCCAGTCTCTTTTTTGGCGGGAATCTCTCCTCCAGCCCCTTCAGAAAACTCGAGGCCGGAAAATGTCGTAAAAAGCACTTTTTGTACAACTTCGGAAGATTTCAAGCACAGCTCTGAAGTCAGCGCATCTAGAAGGCCAAGGATGGAACTCTCACGGTCGCAATTTACCCCACCGCTGCTTTTGCTGCTTCTTCGAGCAGCGCCGAAAGCAGCAAAAAAGGTGCGTTGCGGTGATAATCTATTGAGTAGTCTTGAACACAAAGAGCTTGGTGATGTAGAGCAAAACTTACAGGTTTTGCGTTTTGTTTTAGGACGAGTTTTAGCGGTACTCTCAGAGGTGCCATCGTCAAACACATCATCATCATTGTCCTGAAGTGATGTACGTTAACAAGTATCAAAACAAGCTGATATCCAAAGTCTCACGTTCAGCACAGGAATGACATCTTCGTCTTCTTTGTCCTCTTTCTCGCGACTACAATTCGTCTTTACAAATCATGAAAAAATTATATAGAATAAACTTACTGACATCTTTCTTTTTCGTGTTTTTGACGACTTCTCCGCTGTGTTCTTTTGCGATTTCTCAAATTCTTCAATCAACCCCGCGCAATCCTAAACTGCACATTCAAGTCCGGGACTACAGAGCCTACCCTATGGACATACGCATTGTGCTGCTGGTTCCCACGTGTCGTCATCTGAGTCATCATAACCTTTCCATTTGATAAGATATTCCACTACACCTGAACCAAAACATAACTCCCAGTATAGCCTAGCAATCCAATAGTAACAGGTTTTCGAATAGAAACACGTTTTTCAGAACTTAAAAAGAAGAGATGATGCGCACATCCTCACATTTAAAAAAAA